CACCTTAAAATATGCAAAAGTGAAGTTACCCATTACCAAGTACATACTATAAGTGTCCTCACGTACCCTACTGAAAAGTTCAAGCTTGTTGACTTTTACCCTTTCCATGGTTCAGGAGTTCGGCCAACTCCACATTACTCTCCTCTGTTAGAAAATATCAAAAGCCATGAGGAGTCAGCTCCCCGCTGGACAAAGGGATACTTTAAGCACGCTTTACCCGACAATCACAACTCGGAAACTAGAGATCTCATCATTTATTCACAGCCAGTGAGTCACACATGCAAGTGCAGAAAGCTAACGGGCCTAGGCTCCCTTCACTTTGTCCTTTGAACAATTCTAACGCCCTGAACTCTCACTTCCTCCTTTATGAGTTACACTTTTTCAGAAGTTAAATATGACTTTAGCTTCTAACGGCTGCAGCTGCTTATAGAAAAGGCATCACATTTTCGTACTGATCTGGATATATTTTTTTATTATTTCAACAGCATAGCAAAAGAGAAAGGGAACACAATTAAAACAGCGCAGTATCTTTTGGAATTTTAACAGATAGATAACTTAACTTCCTTAACTTAGGAACTTAAGTGTACAGGCAAGACACTGAGCACCTACATTGGAGGTGGAGGGGGGTTGGGAATATCGTTAACATTTGCTGGGGTCCAAAAGTCAGTCGTCTGAAATGTGCACAGCCAGCTAACTGGTTACCAACCCCCCCCCTCCCAAAGTGCAAACTCAACATTTGAGAATACCTTCTGCCGCTGTCTTGATTTTGGGGCACCTGTAACCCGGGTCGCTCCTGAAGGCAGCTGAAACTACAAATACTCGACAGTAATGGAAGCTCTGGGTGAAACACAAGTGGCAGAAATGAGACTGGTGGTAACGAATTCAGACCCTGAAACAACAAAAATATATATCCATATCACAGTGCGAGTGTGTGTGAATATCCAGCGTCCACATAGTGTCTTTCAAACAGACCGCCACAGTAGACATGATGGATGTGATCACTGCACAGGAAATAAGAACAAACACCTCTCCTCAACCATCCCAGTACAATCAATTATGAAAACTGTTTTTTTTTTTTCTTGAGGTCCAAACATATCCAGAATACACATTCTTACAAATTACAGAGGCAGTTTGGGCCATGAAAGTGATATGCTGATGTAGGCAATGGTTTCTGGACTTTCCCCATCCTTTGGATATGTAGCTGGGTCATGAGAATACTGAATGAGAGTCAAGCATAGGCAAAAGTGTCCCAAAGAGTCCCCTAAAAAGACATTATACAAAGAGAGGAGAACAAAAGAAGAGCTCAAAAGAAAGCGTCTTGTATATTTAAACAGTACTGATTATATAGAAAGTGAACCAAAGCAAACTAAAGAAAAATAAAGCCAGAAAAATAAATTGTCTTTTGTTTAAATGAAATCTGGGGTTATATTGAAGTCAATATCAAAAAAGGAAAATAAAACAAAAATATAATTGCTACTCTCTTTGATATACACTCAGCAGAGAGGTCATGGTATTAATTGCTTCAGATTGCATTTTTTTTTTTCATTCTCGGCTACTTTATTTGCCTCAAAGTGTCCAGGCTGGTGAATGGAGAAACATTAAGATTTGTAATTTGAGGTAAGCCAGGTCAGGCCCTCGTATAGTCCATCCCCTGTTGTCGCACACGAGGGCTGAACGTACCAATTCCTATCTCTGATCCGGGTAAGGCCCAGCTTCTCCTGGATCTCATGGGGTTTCATGGCGTCTGGAAGGTCCTGTTTGTTGGCGAAGATCAGGATGATGGCGTCCCTCATCTCTCGGTCGTTGATGATTCGGTGGAGCTCCTGCTTCGCCTCATCGATCCTGTCCCTGTCGGCGCAGTCCACCACGAAAATGAGGCCCTGGGTGCCTGTGTAGTAATGTCTCCACAGTGGTCTGATCTTGTCCTGCCCCCCCACATCCCACACGTTGAACTTCACATTCTTATACGTGACCGTCTCCACGTTGAAGCCAACGGTGGGGATGGTGGTGACCGACTGTCCCAGCTTCAGCTTGTACAGGATGGTAGTTTTACCAGCAGCATCAAGTCCAAGCATCAATATTCTCATCTCCTTGTTGCCAAAGATCTTTGACAGCACTTTGCCCATCTTGTTTGCCGTGCATAAATACTTTGATGGAGGGAAAAAACTTCTCTTATGAGAGACAAAGTCAAAGTTGCTTTCAATACAACTGAGAAGTTACAGTATCAGTGTGTCTGAAAGTCCACGTGATGGCAGCGGTGGGCTGACAGTGTCAATATTCAAAAGGCGGTGACTTTCAAGTTTGTGCAGTTTGATAACCGACAACAATTAGCTGGATGATCTGACCTGAGAGGGTGACTTCAAGGGGAGCAGTATGTGGGTAGCCCTCGCAGAATTGGCTGGGGATATATTTTCATGATCCACTGCCCTCCGATGTAAGGAGAAAAAATGACATCCCGTTGTTTCAAACTAGACTTCCTTCAAAATCCACATTTCAAGTGTTTCTTCTCGGTCAAAAATCTTCTTTCTCTCATTTGATTTTAAAAACAGAGTGGCTTTTTTTGTTGCCTAGCTTACTATATAAATCAGGCCCTGACCAAGCCCGGGGTTCCCACTTCCTCCTTGGCTGCCGGCTGTCCAAACTTGCCCTTAGCCGATTCCAGTCGATTGATTTCCAAGCACAGTGTTTTTCGTATCAAAACACGCCCAAAAATGAGCTTCACGTTCCGTTTCTGCACCGGGACATCCACAGGAAGAGCGTTCAAAAGGTCATTGATTCATCCGACTTTCTTCTCTTCCCCCTGTGTGACACAAGAGCGGTCCAGAGAAGGGAGGGGTGTTAGTACAGAGGACAACTTTGAATCCGAAAAATAATTATATCTGCGGATAGAAAAGCGAAACAAAAGAGTAGAAAATAGAGAGCGGGATTTATACCTACGTCTGCGGCAATCATCCCCCAGTCCCCGGGCCGTTTCTCCCCGCTCTTGCCGCTCTCTGTCTCTCTTCCTCCCTCTCTCTCTCCAGCCTTTCAGTCACAGCGGTGCTGTGTTACCGGAAAAGGTGCGGACCCAGATCAGCCGCCACTTCCTCTACGCTGCTCTCACACACTGCTGCTGCGTTCAGGGGCTGCGCAATAGCTCAGACATTTCATAACAGAAAAAACATTCTACCACAAGGGCGTTGCATGAAAGCCTGGAGTGTGTTAATATATTTTGTAGGTAGTGTTACTCAACGTATTATCTCTATTATAATGTTAGTGTGATTATATCAGATTATAATTAAATGAATGTTATAATAATGTTAACATTCGCAAGTAATATCAGTTATAAGAAGTATAGCTATTGTGTTGTTGGCTCTTTATTCTCTTATACCCATACTTTTCATACCACAGTCCATACTATACTATAGAGTATTCATTTTTTCTACCACTGTAGGCTGGTACATTGGATATAAATTACATCCTATTCACATCCTGTTTATTCTGAAAGGAGTTCTACTATTACCATTTATTGTACTTACAACTGCACTATACATAAGTATATCTATTCAGCCTACAGTAACTGCTGGACATATTTTACTGTTCATACTGTATCATAATGTATTCATTACTCACATGTCAAACTGTTCATAGTGTATACGTTAAACATATTCATATCTCACTTTCCTGTATTTAAATGTTTTCCATACATTACTGTTCATAATACTCATATTATACATCTGGTTAAATGTCATTGTTTCAATACATGTAGGCCTACTCTTTGCAGCGGTTCAAAGCAACTGGCGACGGTTGCAAGCGGTTGGTTGCAAAGCAACTTCAAAAAAGAGGGTGTGACCCACAGTCCTGATGAAGTAGAATATTTGAGTTTATGAGTAATTTATGATGTTGCTTCTTAATCATGAATATTAACTGTTGTGGATAGCATTGATTCAATACTACGTTTCCAAGGGCTTTAATGTTACGTTGAAGCAGTGTTGCAATGGTCTTTTGTTGAAAATATCTGCCCCTGATCACACATCACACAGCATCGGTACTGTCTAGCTTGACACTTGGCATGACACTTGGCATGTCATCTGGCTTATAATTCAAATTAGTATTAATTATTGTTTTAAGAGAGCAATAATAAGTAAACGGCTAAGTTTTACTTAACTAGGGAAGGCAAGGGAAACAAGCACTACTCACTTTTATTTGGGATTTCCGACCGAACTTGAAGGCGCCATACGCCATTTCGCATGCGCGCTTCAAGCAACTGAACTGCAGACTGGTCCATTATTAGACCAGTGTTGACGCCATTTGAGCTTTCATTGTGTATTAAATCACCTTTAATATGACGTCTGCTACAATATTTACTCATAGGACTCTACATATGAAGCAGATCTAAAGATTTAGTAGGCACAATGATCTGGAGAGGGTTTTACAGCCGGGTTTTCCCCGACATGTCTGATCATTCATTCAAAAGCGTTCCTTGCACGATTAAACTGTGACGTGGAGGTTGTGTAGTGCTGGGGGAACTTCAGTTTCACACGTTGTCGAAAGCAGCCCATTTCTTGCATTTAACAAATACATAAAAATGAATACAAACTATTATCGTAAAACGTACACTGCTAGGGCTAATATATTAATAGTGCAATTACTAAAACTATGAAAAGGCCTACTGATATTAGTAAAGTGATATCGAAAGAGAACTGTAGGCCTACTTCTAAATAATGGAAAGGCAACACTTGTTAAGTATTGAAAAATGCTGAATTCTACCTACAGTCTACAACCCAGCTCACAACTGTATAACATGTTGCTGTATTATAGGCGTAATTGTTCTACCTATATTATATGGTTAACCACGTGTATGCCTCTTTCTATTTCTGTTTCTTTAATCTCATGACCTTGCACGTACACTTAATCAAAAATGTTGCATGAATGTTTTTTCACATGGATGTATCAAACCCTCAACCCAACACACATATGGGCGGGGTTAGACCTAACTGAGCATGCGCACACAGCCTTTCTAGGTTCTTCCTCCAAGTCAAGTATGGTGGGCAAAGCGCGCCGGGCCGTAGTGGGTTAGACACAAATAAAGTGACTTCGAAGACCGCTCACAAGTCCTTAAGGTTGGCCAACATTTCATGGAAGATACTGGTAAGACTCCTTAAACGCATCTTTGTTTATGAAATTGGTTAAATGTGACTAAAATCATGGAAACTTAACAGCCAGCTTATACTAGCCATTAGTGGTAACGGTAGCTAGGGAAATTGCCGACGTTAGCTCACTAGCGAACGTGGAGAAGCCGTTGGTGCCGACTACTAACTGGAAATGGATGCAAATACGTAGCACGTTGTAGTTCAAGTAAGCATTAGGTAATGAAATTGTATGGTTATCAATCCCTGCTGGGTACAATTTATATCAACATTTATGGCCATGGTAAGCTAGACATTGTAGTAAACTGACTAAATGCTAGTGTTAGGCTAACAATAACCTCTGGTAACTTGAGTACCGCGGTTCATTCCAGGATATAGATGGGACCCAAAGTAAGGCCCAACTTATGATTTGAACTTTGACTATCCAAACACTCGCGGCTGCAACAGGGCCTCAAACAGCAAACAAGGCTAAAGCTAACATACCGATTTCGAAAACACGCACGGTAGTTAGCCTTTTAAGTTCAGGAGCTTATCGTATGGTTATTTAACTAAGAAGCCGATCACGTGGCTACAGTATTTTTAGTAGCTGTATGTAAGGGTCTTATCTTAAGCTTCCGTCTGTTTTAATGTTAGAACAAGGAAGTATCCTGTAGCAGCAGCTGCTGCTGACGGGGTGACCTTTTTTTTTTGTTGCTGTGAAGCTACCTAACTTAGATACCATTTCTTAAATCTGCCCTAATTCGGAATGAATTAGTCGTTTAGTCAAAATCTATGTTATTATAAATATCGAAGAACAAAAAAAAAAAATACAATGAGGAAATCCTCAAGTTAGGAAGCCCAAACTGGTATTTTTCCTTTTAAATTACAGAAACAATTTTACCTCATGATTGTAGACGATATGTTAGCGACCAGCAACTTAATGTAGCTTCTCAAGTGATGATCCATCCTGCTTCTCTACAGGCCTGCAACTCTCAGACAACACTTTTATTGGAATGCTGGACACTGAGTCCCCTGTCATGGAGAGCAATGGGGATGCATTTCTTCCTGACCTTCCGGTTCTAGGCCAAACTGCAGACTGGTCCCCAGACCAGGTTACTCCTGACCCACTTGCCAACATCTTACCTGAAGACTCAGATGAGTCCCAGGACGCTCCCGAGCAGCACCAGCAACCAAATGAGCAGATGGATTCCACAGAGCTGGGATCTGTGGAGAAAGCTGTGGAGCAGTTTCAGATTGCCAGTGCTCAGCTTTTCCAAGATGAGCAACCACCACCACCGCCTCCACCTCCACCTCCTCCCCAGCCAGAAGAAGAGTCGGAGCAGCCATCATTCCACAAAGCAGACTCTGGAGAGTCTGATCAAGACAGCCAGGAGATGACCGTTATGCCAGAAGCTTCTACTCAGGATAGCAGTCAAGGTAATCAAAATATCTGATGTTAAGTTATTGCAATTTATCTGATTCGATTAATATATATACCTTGTTTATGTACTGCACATGCACAAAAGGAGGCACGTTTCTGTTGGCTAGTTAATATGCATGTAAAGCTTAATTTAAAACTCTCAATACCGTCTAAATAAAATTCCTCCAGTTGCCTTTTTGTATTAAAAATGTGTTTTTTAATTATTATTCCTCTACCTCAATGCCCCTTCATAATTCCTTGTTAACTTCTCCAGAGGCGAGCGAGGCACCACAGGTGACAGAGGAGGGCATGGAGCTTGAAGAACCCAAAGAAGCCACACAAGAACCGGCTGTTCCTGCCGAGCCTGAGCCAGAACCGCCTAGTGAGTTTGAAAAACTCTTTAAAGCATGTGAGGAGAGCCCAGAGGACTTCAATGGTTGGGTCTACCTGCTGCAGTATGTGGAGCAAGAGGTAAGCGAAGACATGCTAATATTTTCTCTTTGTATATTACAAAAATTGACCAGAAGCATTATTGTACTTTCTGGGAAATACTAATATAATTAATCCTATTGCTCGTCTCCCTTGCAGAATGCTCTTCCAGCTGTGAGAAAGTCATTTGACATATTCTTCCTACGCTATCCCTACTGTTATGGCTACTGGAAGAAGTATGCTGATATTGAAAAGAAGCACGAGAATATACAGGTTGCAGAAGAGGTAAATATTGATATATTTGGCACTTTTACTTATTTGCTTTCTTTTCTATCGTTTTGCTGTATGTGCTGCTATGTGTAATAAAATATTTGGCTTGTGACAATTGAACAGTTCTGGCATTGGCCTTATTTATTTTGAAGAGAACAATTATCGAAGACTTTCTAGATGTTCCTCACTCTTCGTTGTTTTAGAGAAACAAACAGCAACTGGTACATAAATAAAAAAAAGGGGCAAAGAGCTACTTTAATGAATAAAGTCAAATCATTCAAACTGTTGACATGCTTTTCTTTGGTCTGGTCTCTTTCAAGGTATACAGAAGAGGCTTGCAGGCCATCCCTCTCAGTGTGGATCTGTGGCTGCATTACCTGACCTTCATCAAAGAGAACTCTGACCTGAGTGACCCAGAGACAGAGGGACGCATTCGAGCGTAAGTCAAACACATTTATCTTAAAGCATTCTTCTGTTATGTGACTTTTTTTGACCGCAGAATTTACAAAAAATCTCATGATTGAATTTAACCGAATACTTGAGGCATACAAAGACAAATAGTTGCATAAGATTCACAAACTTTTCTCTTACATTCTACCATCAGTGCTTATGAGCATGCAGTGCTTGCTGCCGGCACAGACTTCCACTCGGACCGCCTGTGGGAGTCCTACATCACCTGGGAGACGGAGCAGGAGAAACTGGCTAACGTCACTGCCGTCTATGACAGAATCCTGGGCATCCCAACACAGCTGTATTCCCAGCACCTCCAGAGGTAGACAGAAATCTGAATAACAACTCTATTTATCTGCTTTATTGTTATACTCCAGAAACACCAGGTCTAGTTGGTTCTGTTTAATGTGTGTAATTACTGCTACATGTACACTATTTGATGCCTAATCTTGTGTATCTGTTTTTTCATCTTTGCAGGTTTAAAGATCACGTACAAAACAACAACCCCAAGCACTTCTTGTCAGAAGAGGAGTTCATTCAGATGAGGCTCGAGCTCTCCAAAGCCAGCCTGTCGGCGATGATCTGCGAGAGCGAGGACAAGCCTTCTGCTCAGGATGACCTACCACCCGGTACCGAGGACCTTGCGGACCCTGCTCAGGTAAAAATCCACTTTCCTCCTGCAGGGGAGACACATTTACAGTAGCACCGCCTCCAGGCATTAGCAGGAGCTTGCCTGCTCTCCATGATGAGTAAGCTTTGTTTAGGTTTGAAGAGGTGTCTTTATGTCAGCAGCCAAGCCAATGAATGCCAGGGGGATTCAAGTTGGCATCAGGGACTCGCCCTAAAACTAAAAGGATCAACTGAGGCCCAGCACCTGCACCCAGAAGCTGATATGCAGGGTGCATACATACCTCCCCCCCCTCTCCACAGGCTTCTTGTCTCTGGCAAGCTCATGGTGATGTAAACCCTTGGCTGCAAGACTTGCAGTTTCTACATCAAGTGGAGAATGTGATTGGGTGACAAATGCACAGGAGTGCTGACCAGGTGTTTTTCTTTGTGTCTTTGTGTAGAGAGTGACGGAGATCGAGAACATGCGCCACAAGGTGAACGAGGTTCGGCAGGAAGTGTTCAACCACAACGAACATGAAGTCAGCAAGCGCTGGGCTTTTGAGGAAGCGGTATGTGTTCCTTTTCCTCCACAACTCTGAAGCAGAAGACACTTTTTTCTTAAATATTATCTCATTGTTATGAAGAAAATGTCTAAACGCTTTACTCTTGTATTTTCAGATTAAGAGACCCTACTTCCACGTCAAATCCTTAGAGAAGAACCAGCTGAACAACTGGAAGGAGTACCTGGACTTTGAAATTGAGAACGGGACTCCGGAGCGCGTGGTCGTTCTTTTTGAACGATGCCTCATCGCCTGCGCACTCTACGAGGAGTTCTGGACCAAGGTAATTCAACCTTTAACCTCTCCTTCACTCCCGCTACTTCCCTGCACTTCCCCACCAACGATGATATCACATCGACACAGTAAATCGTCCTGCACTCCTCTTTGCGTGTAACGTTGATATGTGACTGTATCTGTTGTATTAGGGGATGGCCAGCTTGCCACACAAGATTTGACTGCAGCATTTGCCAACTACTACGTTGCATCTTCTTCGTCTCCCACTACCTTACAGAAACTTATCTAATTGGTTCCATGAAGGTGCTGATGGGTTTACACAGAAAATTTCTTAAAACGATCTTGTCAATGAAGAAATTCACTGTTTCTGTCAACTGAAATTTTAGGTTTAAAATGTTTTGTCTCTTTTGCCTTTCTCCTCTGTTTCTTTTTCCTCTGTCCTCTCCTGCATTTCTTCCAACTCGCTGTCTCAAGTATGCAAAATATCTAGAGGGCTACAGCACTGATGGTGTGAGACATGTCTACAAGAAAGCGTGTACCATCCATTTGCCCAAGAAGCCAGCGATTCACCTGCTGTGGGCTGCCTTCGAGGAGCAGCAAGGTAATGACGCTCATTCAACCAAGCATGCAAATTAAACAGTCAAATCACCAAGGACTTTGTAAAGGGAACGAATAAACTACATCTGAGGCCAGTGTAAGAACAAGTTTTTAGAGAGTACTTGTCCATGTAAAAAAAGATCGAACGGCATCACATTTTCCCACGGTTTTTAACGACACCGCTGACGTAAGTGAGCGGTAAGATTTTACTGCATCACACATAGAGTTGGGTATCGTTTGGGTATCGTTTGGATTTGAACGATTCTGGTTATGCTTTGCGAAACTATAACTAGTTTAGGTAGTTTGAGAGGTAATTAAAATAGCTACGTGTGATATTCAACCTGAAGTGTGTGTTTTGCTCAGCTCACCGCTGCAGGTGATCATGCAGAGCTTGTCAATAAATAAGGGCGAAAAATGTCACTTGTCCATCGGACAAGTCAATTGAAAGATCTACTTGTCCGATATTGTAAATAACACGTCCAGGACGGTGGGACGTGTGCTTTTTTTCGCACACTGTGAGGGTGTTGATATATGTACATTATGATTACAGACTTTTAAATGGCAACAGTTTCCATGATTTCACATGTATTGATAGCATTCTGCTTTTCTTGGTCCAGGTAATGTAGAGGAGGCTCGTGACATCCTGAAGTCCCTGGAGGCATTAGTCTCCGGTCTGGCCATGGTGCGTCTGAGGAGGGTCAGTCTGGAGCGGCGCCACGGTAACTTGGAGGAAGCGGAAGCCATGTTGAGGGAGGCCATGGAGTCTGCGAAGAATGCTACGGAGACATCGTTCTACGCTGTGAAGCTGGCCCGGCAGATGATGAAGGTGCAGAGAAGTCTGAGCAAAGCCAGGAAGGTGCTGCTGGATGCTATCGAAAAAGACCAGGTGAGATGCATAATGGTCATCATGGAAACTTAAAGAGCCAGCTAGACCTTTTATAAAATCATAAAATATTGCATTATGGCAACGTTAGTGTTTTCTTCCGCAAAAAAATTACCTTCTATGCATCTGTGACTTTTTCAAGAGTAGGTTATATTTGAATTCTACCAGATGGCAAGTTTTGCATTTGATGGAAATCAAAGGTTACACTGCTATTAAGCTATATTCTTGTAGAATAAATTAAACTAGGAATGCCAAGAGAATCTCCAGTCCTCATGCAACAATGGTGAATTGTACCACATTCCACTAAGGCTGTTTTGCACTCGTTGTGTGACGCGCATTAAAACTTTTGTGGCTTTACAGACAAGTCCAAAGCTCTATCTGAACCTGCTTGAGCTGGAATACAGTGGAGACGTGACACAGAATGAGGCTGAGATCTTGGCCTGTTTCGACCGGGCCCTGCAGAGCCAGATGCCTCTGGAGTCCCGCCTCCTCTTCTGTCAGCGCAAGGTTGAGTTCCTCGAGGACTTTGGCACTGACGTCAATGTGTGAGTTTCATTACTTTAGGAGTAATGTCTAAAATTGTTTCCTTTTTGTGTCATGTTTGATACTGACTATTTTTCTTTATCATACACCTTTTAGGCTTGGCGCTGCGTATGAGGAACTTCAAAAACTACAGAAAGAAAGCGAACCCGCGAAGAGGAAAGCCGAGAACGGGTATGACAGGTGGATAAGGGAACAGGGATGGGCCACAACAACACATTTTCATGTCTTCAAGAACAAGATTAATAGCAGTCAATTAAAGTGTTTTATAGTGTATTAGTCATTGTATCGCAGTAAATGGTAATGCACTCCTAAAACTTTGTTTCTTTGTGAACTGCTTTACAAGGGATTATACTAATTTGACATTTTCGTCTCCAGCGCTCAGGAGCCTGACTCTAAGAGGCAGCGGGTGGAGGACGGTTCAACGGGTGCGGCAACAGCAGCGACGGACCCAGCGGCAAACAACACTGCATACAACAACTGGTACCAGGTGGGTTTTCTACTTGATCTCTAAACAGGTTTTCACACCAAGCACGCATGGCCATTTACAGATGTTATTATGAGCATTTTTAATTATCTATTTTGATCAAAAAGGACTGACGAGGTACACTGAAGTTGTGGGTAGAGCTGCAGAGGACTAAGGCTCCACAAACATCTCCCTTGTGGCCAGGTGTTGCAGATTGATAGATGGATTTCATGATATTATCATTGAAATTAGTTTATGCTAGCGTACGTAAGCACCATTGTTAATTTCGTCAACGAAAACTATGACAAAATGTTCGTCAACGACCTTTTTTTACATGACTAAGACGAGACGATGACGAGCTAAAAATATATTCTTGATAATAAAAACTATGACTAAATGTATATTTAGTTTTCGTTGACGAGACTAAAGTGTTAATGGTGGACTATCGGACATTCATAATGCAGGATATTTCCCCCCAATTGTCCGTCTTGTCTGTCAAAATGCATCTTACGTTTCTAAATTGCAATATCATTATTTCCGCTCTCTTCACTCCAGAAGAGCGATCTCCGTGTCTCGTCTGTGTGCGGGGGCGGGGCCTAACAGACACGCTGCAGCGGCGTGCACACAGATTTTTGAGAGTAGTACCGTTTAAAAAAACGTAACGATACCCATCCCTAGATATTACACAAGTAAAGTGTTGAGAGTGAAATGTTGCTATACGAATTTCAACACTTGATACTGTCACATTGATTCCAATTTCAGATACCTGTATTTAACTGAATTATTTTAAAGAGAGAAAACATTTTGACTAAAATCTAAGGATTTTTCATCAACCAAAACTGGACTAAAACGTTTTGAGTTGTCGACTAAAACTAGACTAAAACTACGAAGGATAAAAAGGACTAAAATGTGACTAAAACTAATAACCATTTTCGTCTTAAGACTAAATAAAAAATAGCTGCCAAAATGATCACTGTAAGCACACATCGTGTTATGAATACAGGAAGAAAATATGATTGGATTTTTATATATAAAGTACAGAGAAATTGAGTTTTTTGTATTTTTCATATATTGCTTAATACCGGGATTGTGATTCTAAATGGACATTTCTCCTTTTACCTTGACTTTAAGTTCATGTTTTATTTAACCATGCTGAAATGTTTTTAGTATTTGTAGTAATTTGACTAACATTTTCTCTTTTCTTTCCCTCTTCATCAGCAACAGTACGGTGGTTGGGGACAAAACTCCTGGGGACAGTACAACCAATATGCCCAGTATAACCAGTACTACCCCCCTCCCCCAACATAATGGACAAACCCCTAACATGAAGATGAAGACTCAGAGGAAAGCATCCATTGTGACCTGCCTAAATCTCTGTTCATGGTTACATAACATGATGCCTTAGAGATTTCAATCCAACCATGAAAGCTGTTTTGTTCCTTCTTTCTGGATTAAATTGTACTAATAAATTCAACTTTGTACCAATTGGTTGGAATATAATACTCATTGCCCTCTGTGACATCGTGTTGATCAGTTATGATCTTCAAAGAACACTCGATATGAATTGTTATTTTTTTCATCTCCAACACTGGCTGTTCCGAGTTCTTTAATGCATGTTATTTGTGAAGGCAGATATATTTTTCTTGTGTGATTAAAGCTTTTCAATTTTTAGTTTTGATGACTTAGTTTGGTCTCTTTCTGTGTTTAACATTTGAACTTGTAAAGGAGGCTTTCATGGATGCACCTCTTGAGTCGTGTTTTTCTCCCTCCCAAAACTGAAAGATTTTTAATATTACATGGTTACGTTTCCATACAGAAAATGAACAGTTCCTCCTTTTTTTATTTTGAATTTATTTCATAATAAAGAGATTGATATCCTAACGTGTCACTGGTTGAATCCATCATTCATTTCATTCCTTATTGGTAAATTATGTTCAGAGGCATTACACATTCTTAAATTCATGTTTTTAGTACAGACACATTACAATAATCACTATGGAATGTAAAAGCAATTGTGCTCCATAAAGCTGCTGTGTTAGAGCTGATGGCTTTTATATTTATTTGTAATTGTATTTTAGTGAGTGAAGTGAATTGAATCTATAGTTATAAACCGGTGAATTGCCCTGATAAACCAAGGTCTGCTCAAGCCACTGCTTGTTAATAGAGACCTGGTTGGCTAGGAAATGTATTGATTTGGTTCTAACTTAAAATAAAGGGATATTTATAGAGCTTTTGAGCATAATGTTTTGATAAATCACATGCACTTGATTAATATATGGTAAAAAACTAATATTTGCAACTACAATAACTGCAGCACCCGACTTCAAAACGTAAGGGGAGTGGCCACAGCTTCCGACGTGGCTACGTAATTCAGCACATGCGCACTTTCAGCCCTTAAACAGCCCTTTCTATGCCTAGCGTTGAACGACTAGCATCAAACGAGGTAAGGCCTGTGCAATTTTAGTGAAAAACCCTATATTTGTAAAACCCTGAAACGTTTTGGTTTAGCAATAATGTACCAATATCCCCATTTCTACCAAGTTATACTTTATTTGAGCAGTTACGAGACATTCAAGGGTTTTTAAAACGACTTTTTGAAACGCGTTCCCCATGTGGCTAGTTAAGCTAGCATAGCATTAGTGCTAGTACCGATAGAGACAAGGCTGTTCCAGTTCCCGGCATGTTGCTTTGCACTGCTGCTCCTGAGGTTTCAACATTTCCCTTTTTATTTCGTGCTGTTCTTTTTTCGTTTATTACGTTGACGTTAGTCAACAATTCCTGTACATCGGCTCAAAGTTACGGGCCTGCCGTACAACGTTTACTGTCACAGATATTTCTTACGCCACTAGCTGATATCCCCAATACAGCTATAGTAGTTTCCTTCCAAATCATATTAAATACTATTCTTAAAGTCTGATCAGTTTGAAATGTACTTCACAAATGCTGCACTTGGCAATGTCCCTTAGTGACACATTGTGTAAAGACCTAACTTTATTCTGGAATTCTTTGGATAACATTGACTTTTTTCTTTACTGGGAAATGTATAAATATATATATTAAAATGAAATGTTATTTTTTAGCAAAGTATTATTCAGTCATGAATCCTCTTAACTTTATCTGATTTTGAAGCTTCCCCAGGGGTAGTGCATTCTAAAAAAAACTATTTTAACTTGACAAATAACGCTGCAAACATTTGTGTTTGTTTGTCAGCTTTAACGTTTTGTCTGAATTTGAATACATTTGATATCAAGAACAAAAACAAGTTTCCTAGCAGAGTGACCTAGTAATGACTAATGTTGCTTTGCTCTTTTCTTGTTTTCTTGCAGCATCAAGATGCAGCTCTTCTTGCGTTCCCAGAGCACTCACACCCTTGAGGTGACCGGACAGGAGACAGTTGGCCAGATTAAGGTAAAATCTTTACACGTTGTTGAAAAGACGCCACACCTTTTTGATCTCGAATAGAGTACTGTTTTCAATAATCTATATGAAATCTAGCAATGATTTTGATGCAAAGTGCTTTGATTAAAAACGTTCTTGTTGTGCGTCTTAGGCCCATCTCCAGGGTCTCGAAGGTTTCCTGGTTGAGGATCAGGTGCTGTCCCTTGCTGGGTGCCCACTGGAGGATGATTCTTCCCTGGCATGCTGTGGAATCTCAGAGAACTGCACCCTGGAAGTAGCTGCTAGGCTGCTCGGAGGTCAGTACACTGATGCAAACCTTTTCCTTTTCTATTGGTTTGGTCTGGCTATACTTCTGGCTGTCATGTTTCGAAAAACCACCACCCCTAAATCACAAGCCATAATTTGCAAGATCATTTAGCCTAATGTTTTGGAGCAGTATTTGGCCTGAACAATTGCAGGAGCTTTAGTTAGTCAGGAAAATATAATGAACCCTTTCCTTTCCTCCTCAGGTAAGGTTCACGGATCTCTGGCCCGTGCTGGAAAAGTGAGGGGACAGACACCCAAGGTATGACTTTTTCTTCTTTCAATATATTAACTCATCTTTTCATATGAACAACTTAACTGGCCTCAAGAATACAGTTGGAATGTGAATTTGTTAAGAATAAAAAATGATAAGGGATTTATTTTTCTGTCATGTTGTCCAGGTTGAGAAGCAGGAGAAGAAAAAGAAGAAGACCGGCCGTGCTAAGCGTCGCATCCAGTACAACAGACGCTTTGTGAATGTGGTGCCCACCTTCGGAAAGAAGAAGGGACCCAACGCCAACTCCTAAGTGCACCAATGCTTAACGGGAGGAAAACGACCACCGCTCTTTTTTGACCAGGCATAATGTTATCTTTCTGTACAGAATAAATATTTGGCTTGGAAAAAATTGTTTTGTGTTATGTCCTTTAATTTAAATGATTCCCTTACATTTGCTGGGAACTGTTAATCTTTAACGTATTACCCGGTTACAGAAATGTACTGGTTAAATAGTTGAACTTTATATGCAGTTTGCCTGCTTTTTTAAAAATAAATTGAGCATCTGGTATTGATGGACAAGATACAGCTGTGACCAGAACATGTAAAATATCTGAGACTAAAACAACTTATTTTGTGTATGTCCTTCAATTTAAATGATTCCCTTTGCCGGGTTTTGCAGAAACTAAATCAACGTATTACCGTTACAGAAATGTATGGTATCCCTTTTCAAATGGCAGGCTTAGTTTGTTAAATGGTACTGGCTGAACTTTATATGCAGTTTTTATAAATTGAGCATCTGGTATTTTATGTTCAAGAGATACGTGGTTGTGACCAAAATATGTAAAATAACTTTGACGAATGCACATTAACTAGTCATGGCTTTTATACCAGAACGGTAAAGATATCGATGTTCTACTTAATGGATCAAAATAGTTTTCCTATACCAATGACACCTTTGTGTGTAATTAAATTACACAATTGTCATCCAAACCTATAGTTGTACAATTGACTGAGATGGAAGCCATATGTTTGGTCTCTGAAACAGGTTTATTAATCATTTACATTACACATGCAAAAGAACAACAAAAGAAAAATACAGAGAATAAGGTTTCAGGGTGTCTCATTATGTACAATATTGACAAGCCATCACATTCTGGCCAAAACTTACAACGCTGCAATAACTGGTAATCGTATTGATGAATGAGACAAAGTAGGAACAGTATGGCGCAATCCAAATGCCATTTTAACATGATCCTTTACAGCCAGGTCATTTGAGTATTTATTTTCTTTTCCTGGCACTTGACGGTTAGTCCACAGCAACCAGCTCAATCTCGAAGAACAGTTTCGCGTTGGGTGGAATTCTGGAAGAGCTTGAGTTAAGGAACATTTGGCATTCAATACGAAATGAACATGTTTCCAAAAAAATCAGATTACAGCTGCAGTACATGAGAAAAAAAAAAAGTACCAACCATACAATACCTGATTACACATGTAGGTGAACAAATGTGGGAACTAAAATGACACTACATAATTTATATTTTCATGACATAATAATACCACAAGTCCAGCAGAAAGGATACTTTGAGTCGGGGAGACCCTTTCTTCCGTAGGCCCACTCTGGTTCAATCTCCAGGCGAGATGTTTCGCCCTTGCTCATCGTCAGAATGCCTTCGTCCCACTGTGAAAGTAAAGGATTATCAATAATGGCATGCGGTGGAGGAGAAGTGTCATGATCAGGAATTGACAAGAGTTTATATGCAGAGCCTAAACATCCAACTTACTCCTCTGATGACTCTGCCAAGGCCAACTTTGAAGCTCAGGGGTTTAGATTGCTTCTTCTTTCTTGCCGCTGCAGAGAGAAAACACAGTCAGCTAAACTGGCACAGATTTTATCTGTATTCATAACCATAAAGGACAAATGCCATTACAGATCAAAAAGTGAAATTGGTAATGTAAAAAGGGATGGTTACATTACAGGTCAAGGTTTCTCACAAGCATTGTTTCTTAAAACATATTATGGGTGCAGTATCACTTTAAAGTAGAAGTTTGTCATACTTGTGGGAAGATTAGTGTCAAAGACGGTTCCATCCTCCAAACTACCAGTGTACCAGCAGCTCACGTTCTCGCCTTTCTTTGGAAAGTTGGTTTTGTCACCTTTCTTCAGCACTGCCTTTTTGAATTTGGGCGGACCCTGAGAAAAAAGCAACACAGGAGTGGTTAAAAGTAGTTTGAATGTGTGCAAATTAAAATATTGCAAATAAAAATTCTTCCCAAACCCCTCAAAATTATACACCCTGGACCAGTACCTCATCAATAACCTCTGCCGGTAGTTCTTTCTTATCTTCGATTTTCACAGTTCTAATCTGCTCGGTCACATCTTCAACTGGCTCTGTGCCTTTAAACCGCTGCAAAGGATAAAGCAAGTATAAAACACATACATTTTTTATTGAATGTGAGGCAGTCCACATAGATTAGACCATCCCCACTTTCATGTGTGCAACATCAAATCTCATTATCACTTACTTTGCTCTCAAAGAGCTGATTATAGGCGATAATCAGTTGTTCTTTCTTTGCCGTTTTTGCAACACTTTTTAAGTTTCCCAGCAGCTTGTGCTCGTTGAGGAACTAAAAGGGAAACATAATGAAATAACAAAGAGAAAGTTAGCAGAAAGTTAGCAGATGATAACTTATTGCACCATCATGCGTAGGCTCTTGCTCAATGAATAGTTTCGGTCATGGCAAAAATAAAGACACATAAAAACCACGTTTTCATTTTTTTTTTTTTTTTTTAAATGCAACCGTTTCTGATCCGGGTCCAACTCAAGCGAATTAGCTGTGGTTACTATTCAAACAGGGCATCACATTTCGTATAAACATGTCTGTGTTTCTGCATTGAGTGCTAAAACACAACAGCATTCCTGATGTTGCTACGCTAAGCTAACCACGCAGCATGCTGCATCTT